ATTTTCTACTCAAAGTTTTTAGCAAAACTATTTGCTAAATAAGAAAACAAAATTTTATTTTTATTCTGCCCTCTCCGATGATTTACTGTATAAAAAATTCATTGTGCAAAACAAAAAATAAAAAGTCATGCCTTACTGGAATCTGTATACAGACTTGCCTCATAGGTTTCAGCATTTGTTTTTTAGTGGAATAGATTGAATTAAATTATTAATATTATTGACCACTGATGCTCACTATGGAATCAAGATGTATGACATTTCAGTAAATACATAAAAGTGCATATGATACAGTATTCTTACAATAACTTTAAATTAATCTCAATGTATTTTTTTGAAACAGCCAATTCGTAGAGCATTATAGAAGCTTTCAGACCTACTGCAGAATTCAAAACCAACACCTCAGACTCAGGGACTAGTGACGTCCTCTTCCGCCAGCTTCAAGGATTCAACCATATTTAAGTATTTGAAGGAGCTCACTATCGAATAATTATTTGTTTATACCTTGCGATTTCAAAGCGCTGACGACATCCGAAAAAAATGCTTATGATACCAATGATATTTGCATGGTGTAAAGTAATAATATACATTTTATATATTAGGTAAATCACAAGATTAATTTCTCACATTAAATATATATTGCTCTTTGCTGTGTAAAAGCACATATACAGTAGATCTATATTTATTGTTGTGCCAAGTGTCTCATGAAATCTTCTCATATTCATTCCAAAAACAATAAGCTACCAAGTATCAGTACAATAGATATAAAATTGTAAAGAAAAGTGTAATAAACACTAATGATTGTAATAATGAATGGTGTTTGGAGTCCTTTATTTGTTATGTATTGTATTTTTTCATATTTTAAAACAACTGTGGTTCATATGGTGGGTAGCATAAATTTAATTATTTTTGTTTTTACTGTTATAGTATGTTGTAAATTATAATTGTGTTAAATTTTTCAATCAAGTGTGGGCAGTGTAGTTGTAGCTGCCAAATCCTAATAAAAGCTGAATTTTGCTAAATATATTTTTTATAAACCATAAAGCTGATGGAATTGAAACTTTTGCTGCTTATATTCATTGTTTTTGCAAGTCAAATTTCTGTTTTGCTAATTAATGTCATACCAAATTAGCTAAATTGTGAGACAAAATCTCCACTGAATAATATGAACGAGTGGTGCTGTGTGTAGGCCAAAAACTATCATAACTATTATTATTATTAATAGTTTAATTATTACTATACTAATATTATTATTATTATCACTATTAGTAAATTGTCTTATGCTTTTTTAACTTTGTTGTATCCAGCCATGAAATGTTCCCGTAGTGGGATGAATAAAGTATTTTTGTATTGTATCCTTGTAAAACTATGTTTTTTAATAAAAATTATAATTTAAGTAATTGCAAAATGAAGAAAGACTTTAGTGGCTTTGTGTATCCGCCCCCAGTACACCAGATTAACCCCCTACTTACTGTACTGGGTTTTTTGAAGTGCACATGAGATAATTGTGTACACTGGGCCTACGGTTTATAGTCCTTAACCGAGAATACTTGTTCCACCACCAGAACCACAAGCGAGGGTGCCATTTGAACCAGCGCCGATATTATGGCTGTAGGTGCGGTGCCCCTGCCTTAACAATGAGTTGGTTGGCAAAAGTTACTCTCTTGGGTAACAGGAAAAAAATGTTGTAACTAAGCGAGAATCATTTAGACAAGAGGTTGTAATGGCCTTAACTCAGGAGCATCTAGTGAGCATAATCTCCTAAGACCCCCCCCCCCCCCCCCCCCACCAACAAAAAACTCTACCATCCATGCTGGGACATAGTTCTTGGCCCTCCTCAGACTATAGGTCCTCGATTGCTACTCACCGCCAAAAAGATCTCAGCTCCACCATCAAGATTGGTTAACTTGATACATCACTAGCTCTTGACTATGATTAATACTCTTCTTGAATCCATTTGTGATGAATGTGGAATTTGTAGAATAATAAACATAAATGTCATATCATTGTGATTTTTTTTTGTAGTGGTGTGTTGTTGGCGACACCTTCCCCGTCGGATGCCTACCTTCAGATTCTATAGTGTATGGCAGGCAGAGTTTTGTTGATAACGTTGACATAAAAAACCCAAAATACAAGTAAGTTTCTTTGATTTCATTTATTTGTTGGTCGACTGTATCTTTTTAAAATAGTAACTAATCGGTTTTGAAAAAAAATAATGTATTAACAGCTGGGGAACTGGAACTAGTACATGCTCAAAGTAAACAATACAGTATGCTTTGTTACACTGCTCCTGACATTATGGTCATATGAAACTGTTAGTGTAAACAATTCATATAAATAGGCAGTATCACATTCATTATATCATATCATATATACATCATATAATTATATCATCTTTTTCAGCCATAGACAAAAACAAACTATAGACAAGTACAAAGCATGAAAACCTCAGCAGGTACAGTTGTACCTGGTTAGGATTGTTCAAGAGAGGGCAACCAACTGCAACAAGAGAAAGCTTTATATAATGATTTTTTTTAAAACAAATCTCTGTACTATCTAATGACACGACTGCGGAAGGACTAGGCCTATCTGTATGTGCGACAAATAATCAGATTGCGGACTATAGTGATTGACATCACTTATTGTCAATTTATTTTGGGTGCTTTCGCCCATTCCATATCCGGGCAAACCATGTTGCTTCATTTCTGTATTTGCCAATGAAATATTATTAACTTCAGCACAAGACTGGGAATGTATGAAGAAAACTGTGGCTTAGACAAAGTGCTTATGTCCTGGGGACATGATGGTAAATACACCACTCATCTGAAAAATATTTTTATTCTTTTATTATTAATTGCATTTTGACAGTTATCATTATGATTATTATTATTTATTTTATGTCAGTAGGGATTTGTTTGAAGTGTTTGTTGTAGTCTTCTTTTTCCCTGTATCTGTTTTGCTGTCTTTTTGTTGTCCTAAAAAACAGAATTTCCTTTGATAATACCGTGAAAAGCCTGTGTCTATCATAGTGTAAAAAGTTTTAAGCAATGGGACTATAATCTCTTTTGTGTTAATTTTTCTTAGAATACATGTACCAAGTGTGTAGAGGGAATAAGCAATGCAAACTACCGTTAGAGGTAAGAGTTTAAATGTTACGACAATTCTTAAGAAACGCTATGTTGATTTTACCAACCAAGATTTCCAATGGACATTTCAGCAGGGCCACGCCCCTTGCAAATTGTCCCACAAAACAATAACATAAACGTATGTACAATTTGTGTTTGTGGAACAACACATGTGGTTCCTGGCCCTGTTTTGATTGATAAGGTTGATTGACATTGTGGAAAAGTTCCATTGTTGTTGTGGATGTGCAATATTTTTAATGCATTTCTGCTGAGATGGATCGAATTACTGGAGACTACATCTTGTAATCTTATTGATTTGGATTGAGTTGCTAAAAATAATATTATTATTTTTATTTGTGATTTTCTAGGCACTGTATATGATCCGTTTCCACTCATTCTACCCATGGCATACGAATAGCGAATACTACTACCTCTGCAACACCGAAGATATACAGATGCTCTCATGGGTCAAAGAATTCAAGTAAGTTGCTTTTCCACTTTTGTTTCTTTAATTTATTTATAACTTGATTAATGATGATGGTAGGATGAAGAGGAAAATGAATGAGTTTTTAATTTAATTCAGGTTCTGGTATTGTGGAATATGTCAGGTAATCATTTTGATAATAATTATGATAATGATTTTTGTGCAATAAGTTTGCTGTGTACTCACAAGATAAACATACTTAAATTTCATTTTATGTGTTTATATAATTTATGAATAGTTTATATATACAGGTATGGGGTAATTGCAATGAAAATGTAATCAGTTATAATTACAATACAAGTTCCAATTACATTACATTTACTTACATTTATGTTTACATTTTAAAAATTACAATTATTAAAATTACAATGGCATGTAATATTTCAAATCAGTATGCACTATTTAAAAAATCATATAAAAATAATTGGTATTTTTAATACCAATCACAAAAAATCAGGGAGGGAATATTAGAGATGGAACGTAAGTTATATACAACTGGTTTTCAAACATGTTGATATGGAGACCATATATTTCAGCAAAGCTAACTTGTCGACCCACCGTTCATCCCAAAAGATCAGAAAATTTAGAGATTATCACATGATACGTAACGCCAACAACCACTAAGGCCAACAATTTTGAAATGCATATAAATTTATAACCTTGCCCATGTCAAACACCAAAGTTTTGCCTGCATTGTCATTAAATGAGAGATCTTATCAGATGACTTGCATGGAGTACAAAAATATTATATTTTATGTAGCGTCTAATGACGCTACAAAATATGTTGGTGACCAAATTGAGTCACGACCCATAGTTTGAACAAGGACTTTTAACTGTTAAGTGTTGAATTAGCTGTTCGATTCAATGCCTGGGTAATAAATGCCAAAAGCACAAAGGCCCTCTTGGCATATGATGTGCTATAAAATACTAGTTATTATTATTACCCATTTGCCTGTGTCGGACACCAAAATGGATGTTGATGAACGTAAACAAGCTTGGAGTACTAAATATTCTATTGTACATAAACGTCTGGCGACTCTATAAAATATTTTGGCGAGCCTATATTTGGGTTGTGACCATAGTCTGAATATCAGACTCAAATTTTAATATAATTTTTTTTTTTTTTTAACTTTTTTTCCACAAATTTAGGGATGGGATAACACCCATATTTTTTTTGAAAGTAAAAAATGAATGTGTCAATGATAAAAGAACATAGTTTAGTAGGCATACATGATTTTACAGACCAGACTTAAGAAAACATGAGTCTTTACTACAGAGGCTTGAGATTTAGAAGATTATGATTAATCCATTACATTTTATCAAAATATACAATTACAACTGGACCCATTTACAAATTACACTCATTGTACCTCAAAAAATGTAATAATCAGTGGCTGATCCAGGAATTCAAATAGAGGAGGCCCTGGGAGGGACTCTTATTGTAGAGAGTCTGCAGTATACCACCTCAGCCCCAACATGGTTGAGGTAAGAGAATATAAGATTATGGTACCTCTAGTTGGCTGGAAATGGCACTTTCAGACTTAAATTTGAATATAACTTTCTTTTTTTCTCCATTGTTTTTATAATCTGGAAAAAATTGGGTTAGGGGGTGGGTGGTGTGGTTTGGCTCCCCTTGGATCTGCCACTGATATTTATGATTGATTATGAATACAATTGTGATTACCCAATGCCTGTTGACATACATTCCAGAAGTTAATACAGTTTTCTTTTCTTTGTAGCCAATTTGACCTGTATTCCAAATCTGATGAGCTTCCCGACATTGAAGCTCTCAAGCCCTATTATCAATCTCTAATTGATAAATACTTTCCTGGAAAAATTAAATGGTGAATTGTTTTTTGAGAAATGCCACCTTCTTTAGGTCAGTTTATTTTTACCTCAGAGATTCTTCTTGATGTTTTTAATCAAGAAACTAATTACAATGCCATTCAGATTATCAAGGTAATTTGATAATCCAGATATGTGTATATTGGATTTTAATGGAATTTATTACCTGGAAAAAGATTAATTTAATTTTTTCAAGCAAGGATAGTAAAGAGGAAAATCGATGGGGCTTGACACACAGGAGAGAAGAGGTTAGGACCATTAGCAATAATATTATTATTATATTTTTTATTTATTTTTTTTATATACTCATTTAGCAAATTTATTTTTGAAAGATCTTGAAGGCATAAATAAAGAAAGGAAGGAAGGAAAGAAAGTAAACATAGAAAAAACAATTTTTTTTTCATAATATTAAAATTGGTTTTTGGTAATATTTTTCATTAGATTTCTAAAAATCCATATTCTGTTATTATTTTTGACCCCCATTGTTTTTATTGCTATTTATAGCTGTACATAATAGATAATAGACATATTAGTTTTATTTATGTTGTTTTTGAGTTACTTTATCAAAGGCAAATAGTGATTGTTATTGGGAATATTATTTTCATTAGTTAGAAGATGGACTGTTCCATTCAAATGAGAGGGAGATAAGTAGAATGGAACATTCTTTCTTTCAAGAAATAAAAAATATATACATATTTTTATTTATGCTGTTTTGAGTTTGTCCATGGAGATACCTCAATGCTTTACCTATGACAAATATTGTTTTGAGGGCAATGGTTGGTTTATTTTCATGAGGCAAACGATGGACTGTTCCATTCAAATGAGAGGGTGCCATGTTGAATGAAACAGTCCATCTTTCAGCAAAAAATATAACCTTTTTTATTGAACTACAGTTCCCCCTCTAATTTAAGACCCCTCTAATTCTGAGACCCCTCTAATTTAAGCCCATTTTTTTCAAAGTACCAATTAACAATCCTCAATCTTAACACAAAGCTAACCCTCTAAATAGAGACCGAACCCTGAGACCACTCCACATTTCCTGATCCCAAAGGCAGTTTGAATTGTAGGGTGAACTGTAGTAAAACATTCATTATTTGTATTTTAAAATACAACTAGATAATTGTAAAAACATTTGTCATTGTATCACATTTTTTTTTTTATCATAATAATAATTATTGTTTTAATCTGTCACAAAAAATGCAAAGCTTGAACATTGATTGGTCATTGGCAAAGAAAATAAGAGAATATATTAAATTAGTTATTCATATTTGGTTTTAAAAGAGATTGTTCTTTGGCACTCTTTTTTGGCACTCTTCGCAAATAGCATTACTGGCTTGTGAGTGCTGGGCAGTGGGAGGTTGCAGTGGGAGGTTGTTGGATGTGTACGCGAGTTAGTTGGGATGTTGGTGCAAGCATGTGCATGTTAACAGTCTGTGCATGTTGTTCTGGGTGTGTTTGAAAACTATCATTTGATTTAAAATTTAAATTGAATATAATAGCGTTATTTGATTTGGAATATAAAGAACAGATTTTGAGAGATGTCTTTTAGTCTGATTTGATTTATTTCTTCAACAAAATAATATAGTCCACATTAAGTTGTTGTAAACCAAGATACTATTGGTTGAGCAGGTAGAGGTATGATGGCAGAGTGTCTGGATGGTGGTCTGAAGGTCGCTGGTTCGATTTGCACAGCATTCCGTATTGTCTTTGCTCCATTTGTTACTATACTGTAAACCACCATTACGGCATTTAGTGCTCTTTGTTTGAAAGGAAAATTATGTTGTGTGGAAAAACAAGCAGTGGTTTGGCATTTTTTTTATGTGTGTGTGTGCAGTGTATCAAACAGTGTTATGTATCTTGTGTTTTTAGAAGGTCTTTTTTGTTATTATTCCAACAATATTTATAATACCACTTACTATAATAATAGTTAATAGTCTACATAATTATAGTACCAATAATAAGAGAATATTTAGCAGTCAGTTGAATTAATTGCAGTGGTATCTATTATTGAAAAATATAATACAGTAAATGTAACGAATTATATAAAATAGATATAATTGGAGTAATGCCTACAGTCATTGATAAAGCGGTGGTTAAGACAATAAATGCTCAGAAAAATAAACTTTGGTTAAATGTGGTCTCAAAGTCTTATTTGAATTCTTTTGACGGTTATGCTTTTATTGTTTTATTTTTTATATTGTAAATTTGATACAATTGTTATCACCTTTTTTGTGCTTGTTCTCTGTTCTATGTGTGCATGTACTTTACTTAAAGCTAAATGTTAAATATTTTTTCTAGATCCTTAATTTATATAGCTGAATTTTAGTTGTATGCATTTCTGTTACATTACTTGCCATATTTATTCTCGTTTTAGACGCGATGCTTTTTCATTGTCCTACTTAGATGTGCTTCAGCATAGAGTTTTCTGAAACAGGTGTCCATTTTAATCCCAATTGAGAATACTCTTTTATTCTGTTGATGACAATAAAGGCCCTCCAACCAAGGATTTTTTCAGAACAATATGGTATATTGAAGTAACAATTATTACTTCAACCGGAGTACTGCATAGAATTGCAAGATGTCTAACTAATTTTGCATGCACACAATGAAACGTTAAAAAAGGTACTACCACGAGGTAGGGGGCGCCCTATTAGAATTTGAATAGAGTTCGATCGAAACACGTCTTTCTTGAAATAGAATTACATTGCAATGAAACCACAAGAGTCAGACGTCTTGCAGTTCTATACAACTGTAAATTATAAGACATTTTTTTTTACTTATCTGTCCGCCGTATTATGAGCCACTCAGATTAATATAAGCAATAAGTGTATATTTGTATTTTTCCCTTTAGAGAGTAACCTTGCATTTTGAATAACAAATTATTTCAACTGGTTATGAATATAATAAAGAACTATACAGATTTATGATTAAATGTGCATGACTTTTCTTGTCTGATGATATTCTTTTGGTGAAGTGGGAATGGTTTTGTTTCCCAACCTTGAGGTCAGGGTTTCAATCCTTTGCTGTGCATTTTGCTTTTGTCCTTGAGCAAGGCACACATTGCTTCAGTCTACCCAGCTGTATCAATGGGTACCCAGGGGTGGATCCAGAAATGTCCAAAAGGGGGCCCCCCGAAAGTTGGGCCGATTGAGACAACACTGTCGTAGGTTGTGTTCTAGACGCCCGAACATAACATTTGAAGCATTCTGGGCTATAATTTTTTTCTTTTTCTCTCTTTTTTTCTTTTTTTTACTTCCCAAGAAGGGGGGGGGGCGGGCCCCCCACCCCTAAATCCGCCCCTGGTACCAGCAAATTGCTGGGAGTAACCTGTGGTGCACCATCGTCCCACTCTGGAAACATCACACTCTTATCTGCTTCATGCTACAGGAACTGAGGATACCCTCCCGCCCTATGACCCCTAGTGGCTTGGCAAAGATTACTTTTCATTCTAGCCAACAGAAAATGAGTCTATGATAATTTTAATTCTAAATCATATTTTTTAATCATAACTCAATTTATTCAATTGTTTTTACCTAATTGTCTTCTAATTGGTGTTTTTTCCTCGTTATATTTTTCTTTACTAATTACTTGTCATATTTAATGACATTGATGATGATAGCAACGAGAGACATTTATAAAGCATTTAGTGTGAGTTATCCAACACACCCAGACACAAAATGTGTGTATTAAGAGTCATTAGAGTCATTTGAGTCATTTTTTCCCCGGCAATTTGTCATGTTTCTAAAGCCGGGGTCCCAAGTCTTCCACAACTCGCAAGAATGTCCAGGAAAATCACACATCTCCGCAAATTCTACTGTACAGTATTAGCATGTTTTCCTGCTTTATTATCAGTTGTTTCATGGAAGCCAGTGCTGATGGGTATCATTAGGACTATGTGCAGCAGAAAAAAATTAAACGTGGTAAGAAAGCTCATTAACAGTGGTGGGGCACAGCCGGCCCGGGCCCCTTAGTTAAAAATAAAAAGGGAAAGAAAGTTTTCCGGCTACTGTATGTAAACTTGTGCCATAATCATAAATTTTCTTACCTCAGCTCCAACCATTGTAGTGCTGAGGTGGTCTAAACCCTCACTCTGTGAAAGTCCCTCCCTGGGCCCCCTCTCTATTTGGAATTCCTGGATCGACCGCTGCAGATCTCCCGGAACTAAATTTTTTCTACTTGGGACCCCAGCTAAAGCTATATTGCTCCTTAATGCAACTTTCATGTGGGTCCATGCATTGAGTAAAATATTTTGTACTAAACTGGTGCCAACATCTTAAAAAAAATAATATTAAAAGATGTAGTCAAAAATTAAAACAAATACTTTATAGTTCTGTATACAGTACATTTATTCTAAACAAAAGTAATGTAAACATAATTGAATTTAATTTTATAAACTGAGCTACAAATGCACAAATGGAAAAGTAAAGATAATGGGAGCTTGTCACTCATAACATACATGAAGACGGTTTTAAGATACAAAATAGGCTTGGATTCTCGAGTTTTGAGAAATAAAAAATCAACTGAAAACAACATTTTTATTGAGCACAACAAAGAATACATGTTTTTGCCTTTTATGCATCATAGATTATGAATCTATAAAATGTACAATTATAGCAGCTAATATACTACACTGTATGGTATAATTCCAGTATTAAGCCTTATCTAACTCACACAGTATGGTTTTAAAACCATGTAACAACTGCTTGTAGCAAACAGTTGGAGCAGGAGCTTTCTGGTGGCATTGCTTCCCTAGACACCACTGGGGATTTGTTGAATAAAGAAACTCCTCCTACAATCCACAATATTTTCTGTGATGTTTATTTTTATATTACTAGCATTCTATTGCAACAACTTAGTTACATAACCTTTACATTTCTTCGGGTAAAGTCTGGTGTTCATACATTAAATTTACAAGTTTTATGAAGTGAAGATGAATGTAACCTGTGCTGAAACTATAATTATTTACCACTATCATATCCTTTTAAAATTCTATAGTTAAATTTAATTAGGAATTTTTTCCAAAAAATCCATGATTGGTCTGTTGGCAATGAAATACTGTACACCACACTGTCCTGTTGGTATGACAAATCTGAAATTTATGTACAAGAGTTGACATTCCCAAGCATACTGTTTCTACACTCATGAAAATGATGTTTATGAATGATCCACTAAGATTGCAATGATGTTGGCTCCAGCTTCTTTGGGGTGAAAGACCACAAAAATTGGGAGGGGGAAACTTTGTATACATTTCATTACAGTACTTTGAAAAAAATGTTTTGTGACACACATTCTACATTTATCTTGTTATAAATTGATAAAATCTTTCTATGGTAAAACATTACAGAATTTATTCTGTAAAATCTGACTACAGACGTTCTACTTACAACTTCTAAAACACATTTCTATTAAGCTGTAACACCGTAATTAATCATTACAAAATTCCTCTTAATTATTCTATGCCATAAATAATAATTTTAATACATAATTCAATTGCTATGAAAAAATGCCCACAAATTTCAGGACATGATTAGTGAAATAAAAAGGGGAAATAAATTATTGCTTTTAAAATTTGATAAATACAAAACAATCAACAACTCTTGCAGTAGTTAACTATTTACAACACAATTTTCTTGGACAACAAAGAGATACCATATGAATTGTCTGTCGTACTCAACAAAGAAAATTTATCAGACTTTTCCTTGTGATGTTTAGCATTGTCTGATGGACATGGAAAGACCCATGGTTTGTTTAATCAGATGTCTGAAACAAGCATCCATTAAAAAATCTGGTTCCATACATTTCCAGCTCCATGTGATGGTACTCTTCAATTGCAATCTGTAATAGAGCCAGATCGCAATCATACCCTACCCACCCCCCCCCCCCCCACTTTCCCCACCCCCCT